AAAGAGGAAAGAGACTGGAGTTGAAGCCCACACTTTTTACCCGAAAAGTGGACTCTCTACTCTAAGCACCGCCAACTTTTTCTGTTAAAAAAAAAAATAACTGTCCCAAAGAAAGCAGGCTTTCCCTACGAAAAACGATGTATCAAAAGAATTATACATTGAGACCGTGCGATCTGAACCCAAAATCGTTTGTGTGCAGGCTAAAACTCTCAGAGTCTAGTGTGTATCGAAGTAATTACCTGGACATAGTCCATTAATAATTTTCATCATACCACTTCTTCTCAAATCTCCAAATGCACGACCGTCTTCGATAATGCCTTCTATGCATAATTGATTCAATTCTCTCTTTTCTAATGGTGTTATTGATAGCTGTGCATTCATACCACCGGCCGGTGCAAATTCTTTAAAATGATGAACTGAAAATAAATGCCGACGACAAGCTGAAGTATTTCCAGTTTTTGTTTTAAATTCTTTGGAAGTGTTTGTACAAAGATTACATTTTGCTTTCGTTCTTTCTTCATTTCTTGTAAAGTGTTTCCACATAGATGAACTGGTAGGTGGATCTGTTGTACCGTCCTCGTCACTTGATTCACTATTATTATTGTTAGTATTAGTAGTCGTCGTCGTATTACTATTGTTATTATAAGTATTTTTTGTCTTCGTCTTACTTTTACTTTTCGCCTTCTTATATTTATTATAAATATATCGCCTTGGACGATGTTGATCAGGTGGTGGTGAATGATGTGTTGGTGTTGTTGTTTTTGTTTCTTTCTTCTTCGGTCGTGAAGGACGTTTCAATGGAATTAATAATTCATCTGACGAATTACCTCGTTTTGAGATGACGGTAGCAGCATTCATCAGTTTCTGTCTTTGATAATGTCGTTGACGTATTTTTGTTAGCCCACGCATATCGAAATGAGGTAACAAAATATCTTCTTCGTCTATTTCTTTTGTTTCTTTATCATTCTCACCGTCTTTATTACTGTTATTATCATTGTCGATTGAAATAGATGAAGCACTTTGTTTCGAAATAGTTGAATGTGATGATATTGGTGTAGAAATCGAATGTGACGGTGGATCGGTGGATTCGGTTAATTCTGCGCTGAAGGTTTCTTTAATGATCGTTTGACCATCGTAGAAAATCTGAAACACGTAAACATAAATAAAAAAGCCGAATTATATCCACTATTTTTTCTAATTTTATTTAACTGTCTAAAAAAGCACAATTGTGGTCTAGCCATCAGCCGCAGTGTTTCGTTTTCCTAGAGAAAAGTCTTGATCAACTTAAGAAAAAAATAATAATCTCAGAATACGCAAACAACTGCAGGCTGGTCGAAGAAACGACAAAAGAAAAAAGGACAACAGATACGAAGTGCAAAAAACATTGGACAGATGTTCTAACCTGACCTGCAACTTATTCCTAGCAAATTGTAGAGTGCTAGTTTGTTAAGTGTTAAAAGTGTTTAAAAGTGTTAAGTGTTTTCATTTCTTAAGAAACGAAAACACTACTTCAATCTATTCTATTGACTCGTTGAGCTGATAAAATAGAAAGAAAAGCCAAACAAGAAATAAAAAACCGTTAAAATATCGACATCAGGACACTCTCTAAATAATCTCA